TTTGACATGGTCTTGTTGAAGGCAAGATTTATAAACGATATGTGTCAAGGACACCCTTCATGAATAATATGATTCCAGCCAGGAATAAAGGTAGCCACTGTAGTTGGTAAATCTCTCTGGCCTACTGCACTCCATCAATGTTTCTCCAGGTATAAATGTTAGTTTCATTAAGCTTTATTTTGAATTCCTTTCTTGTCCAAGCAGAACTTATTTTCCAAGTCTATTCTTTCTTTATCTTTTAATTTTTTTTTGGATTAAAAAAATCAATTCTTTGGAAATCAGTTTTCCAATGAAGATAACTATAACTCCAAATGTAAATAAGTTTAGTCCCATACTACACTGCCACCCACAAACCTAGTTTCCTGAATTTTCTAGGGTATGTTTTTTTCCTGCCGCATTTGCCCTTTTGATTGCTTTGGAGGAATACCACACACGTTTACTGAAATAACATTTTCCAAGGATGTATGCTTAGGCACTGAAAGCACAGGGAACTCTGACATTAGAGAATACAGTATTTGCTCTGAGAGAATACTGTCTCCTCTTTGTCTCCACTCCTCCTCAGGCTTGCTGCTGCTATTTAACTGTAGCTAAACATCATCTTCCTTCTTAACTCATCAGCACCATCTTCTCCAACTTCTTGAATTTCAAATAGTAACTGACAATTTGCTTTAACACTGAAGAGAATGTCAATAGTAGCTAACATTTATTGAGAGCTTACTATATGTCAGGCACAGAGCTATATGTGTCTGTCCATTATTACATTTTATCCCCATGTTATCCTAGGAGTTAACTACTTAGAAAGTTAAGTGTCCAGATGAAGCTGCATAACTAGAAAGTAGGGGAATGAGGATTCTAACTCCACGATATGACTTCAGAATTTATGCTCTTAACCTTCATGCTCTCACTTAAATAAAATCACCTGATGCTGATAATGTTTTAGGTAAATATAATCATAAGCCATAAGGTTAATAAGATGGATAAAAACAGCAGGGTGAAATAATGATAATTTGGCAATTACAATCACAACAGCAGCAATAAAAACAATAAACGAATGTGACCTCAATAAAATAAAAAAATGTAAAAAATACTAAAAATAATAATAAATATTATTATTGGACATACCATATATACCAGGCAGTGTGCCAAGAGTCATCCTACTTCATTGTCCCAGCGATTCTGAGCCATAGACATTATTACGCCCCTTTGACAGATGGGCAAACTGAGACTTAGCTAAGTCAAGTCAGTTCTTTAATTCACCTATACGATAAATGGTTGAACCATGATTTTCATCTAATTCAAGTTCGTAACCAATACTCTTGACTCATTAGCACACATGCCTTAAGTGATGTGAACACAGCGAATCACTGCACTGTTCCAGGCACTCTCTACATGTACACACTCACTTGACACTCAGTCAACTTTAGAAGCGGATGTGATTATCATCCTCATTTTGCAGTTGAGGGGACAGAGTCTCAGAGAGGTGGAGTCTTGTGTCCACGGCCACAAGGCTAAACATGAGGAGCCAGGATTCACTCAAGCTTCCTGGCTCCTCTACCCATGCTTCCTCCCAGCAACAGCCTACTGAAAGGAGAGGTTCCCTGATTATGATTGGAGTATCCTGTCCTGTATCTCAAATGCTTGCATGTGATTAATATTGAAGTAGTTTCTCTGACCATGCCTCTCTGAAAAGAGAGTGTGAACCCTATACCCCTGGGTGAAAGAAAATGACAGCTATACACCTGAACAAAACTACCTCTTGAAGAGGGAGCTGGAGGGCAGGACAGAGAACTGGGAAAGAAAAAAAAACCTGAAATATTGTCCAGCTCCTGGAGGGTGATAAAGAATTAACCTTTGGGGTCAGTTCTCTCTGCTCTTAGTCAGAGACCAACCGAGAAAGAGAACCAAAGGGACCTAGCCTTGCCCAGAGAAAAGAGACACTGAGGAACATAATCCTCTTGTATTGGTTTTGCTGTCAAAAGACCCACAGGAGCTAGTTGGAAACTCCTGGTAGTTTGGGAGTGAAGTTCTCAAGTCCCCAAATTCAAAACATGTAAGTCACTCCTACTAGATAGGTAAGCCAAACGAGGGTTTTCTGACCTAGAGAATGTCATAAATATCCTAAAACAAATAGCTTTGTATGAATCTATAAAATAGTCATAGTTTAAGTGAAAACTTTGCTATTTTGGTTTCTTATTTTTAAGTCCTTGAAAAATAGCTCCAAGGTGAGACCAGCCAATACTTTAAATTCAGTGGTCCCCTGCCTATATTTACCATCCCCGTTCATCCACTTTTCTTTCTCCTTTCCATCCTTTTATGTTCTATTTCTACCTTAATTCTAGTCACATAGTGTTGAAATTTTAACAGTAGAGTTCACTCCTCCCTTTCGCTTTAGACTCCATACGTGGCATCAGGGTCTCCTTATATCTCTGAATTTTACTCCTTCCTCTTATTTCCCACTACCTCCACCTTGGTCTCAAATCTCATTTCCTCTTTCTTCTTAACTTGTAGTTATCATATAATTAGATGTTCTTCCCCCAGACTCTACTCTAATTTAATCTGCCTTGGTCCAAGGGCAATATATGGTCCATAGATTCAATTTCCCCCCCAAAATAAATTTGAACACTCTTAGAAGTTGAATGCACCTTGCAGTTAGCCAGAGTGTGCCACAATCTCCACCATTCCCTATTATTTTTCATGTCAAATGTTCCATTCGTTTTATAACCTCTCTGGCCCCTGTAGTGGCTACAAATTTTGTAATTTCATTCAATATGTTATGGCAAATATAATATATTGGTTAAGAGTTTAGATGACAAATTAGAGTCAACAGAGCTTGGCTGAATACATACTTGCTCTGCGACCTTTGGCAAATCCTATAACCTTTCCAAGTCTCAGGTTTTTTATCTAGAAAATAGGATGACAAGGGTTCACAGTTCATGGGGTTGTTGGAGAATGAAGTAAGAAAATGTATATAAAAATGTTAACACAATGCGTAGCCCATATTAAATGCTCTATAAATATTAATTAAAAATTATCATCATCCTAAAAACACAAACCCAGTCATGTCATTCCTATCTCAAAATCCCTTCTTGTCAAATCAAGGGCTTAACCACGCTATTCCAGACTCTTCATGATCTGAATCCTAACTACCTTTATAATTTTTTTTATTCACTACCTTCTTTTCGCTACCATGTCCTCAAGCCAAAGTGAAGTGAATTATATACAGTATAATGAGTCTCTTTGATCAAGATGATTCAGCTGCCAAAGCGTCCTTCTCCTTCATTGCTTCGTCTTTCTACTACCTAGTGTCTGAAACACAGTTCGTATGCCATCTTGATTTAGTGAGCTTTCTGGTTGCCAATGATAGCAATTAATTTAAATTCCCCTGGGTAAAAAAGGGAAATTATCAAATTGAAAGTGTGAAGTTGGCCTAAGGAAAAAAATGGAACTGAGGTTTAAATAGTTGTTGAGACTTTCTATTTTCCACTTCTGCTTCCCTCTTCATATCTGCTTCATTCTATTTTTGTTTTTAATGTGCTCTTTCTCTGGTACTCAGTTTAATTGACAGGATATGCTGCCCCCAGCTCCCAGGTTTCCATGTAGCAGGTCCCTTCATACTTGGAGGTGGCTTCAACTCTCTTTTAGTCATAATTCCAGATCTCTGGGATCTCAATTCTAAATGACCCAACTGGGGTGAGGTTAATCGGGGTTGGAGAGGTGAGATGGGTAAGATCATTCTGCATTACCTTGGCTAAAAACAACCCACCAAAAGAGAAAGGGCAGGCAGCACATAAAGGACCGGTAGCTGGCTGGTAGGCTGGATATACACACTAAAGTTGCCCCCTGACATTGCTGGATTTCTCACTATGTGCCAGGTGCTGTTATAAATGTTTTCAATATGCTACCTCATTTATCCCTTACATATTATTAGAAACCCCATTTTTTGGATGAAAGTGCCGAGTTACTGAAAGTTCAAGTAACTTGCACAGGGTCACACTACTAACAAATGGTAGAGTCAGGAGTCAAACAGAGCCCCGTCCCCCGACCATACCTCAGCCTGCACTTGTGACTCTACCACAGTTGTCCGTGGCAATGAGACTTTCTCCAGGCTTTCAGAAGTCAGGGGTCTCTGGTTCTCCGAATTTCCCTATTCCTCTATCTTCGTTTTCTTTGGCATATGCCACTTATTTTCTTGTATGATAGTCACTATTTGTGTATGTATCTTAGTTATCTTTCTATGTTATAAGCATCTTAAGGACAGGGGCCCTATCTCATTCATCACTGGGTCTTTCACAGCACTTGACACAGTTCCTTTTGATTTGTGTATCCTTCATAAATAGTTCTTGAATGCATAAACAAATCCATGAGATCATACTTGGCATTACTGGTGTTCATGCTTAGCTGATAACAGTAATAGTTATACCCACTGAATGCTCTCTGAGCACAGGGCCCTGTGCTAAGTCCTTTCAAACAAGATCTCATTAACTCCTCTTAGTCTTATGAGATATGTCCCACTAGTAAGCCCATTCTGTCTGAGGGAACCTGGGCTTAGCATGTATCCAACATGCAAAATGAGACTGTTAGGAGTCAAAATCACATCTTTCTGACTCTAGAACTGTTCTTAATTACTATGACATTGTACCAGCTATTAATTATTTTTTACATTGTAAGATTGTTTACCAGAGGTAAAAGTTTGGGTCAAGATTTCTGAATGATTAAACATCCTGTTTAATCGGATGTTTTCCTGAAATCAGAATTTTTGAGTTCTACTAAAGTCTGAAACCATTCACCTTAGAAAATGTTTTTAAGAATGATTCTAATTCTTGGCATTTGCTTTTCAATATGCCTAGTCTGAAATGTTCAGCCAAAGTTCCATATTTTAAAATTGCTCTCCTAAAAACCAGTAGTTTCAGGATGTCAAAACAGGCACTTTAAAAGTCTTTGGTTTAAATAAAAAATTGCAATGTGTTTTGATACATGAACATTATTTTAGGCAACTAAAGCAGAACCGTAAGCAGACATCTAAAAAGACCAGGTGCTGCAATGTCAAGCTAGAACTTTTCTCTCTAGTAAAGTTTTGGAAGATGATCAACATGAGGTTACTAGAAAGACAAAGTGTAAATAAATTCATGGTTGGATCCATTCTCCACTCTGTGAATGATGTGTTGTTTCCTTTCACCCAGTTCAATCAAGTATTTTCCAAATCAATGGCTTTCTTTTATACTGTTAACTATGCAGGAAATATAACTTTATTCATTTATTTATCCATTCAATAATTATTTATTCTGCTGCATAAATGTATAATCTCAATTCCCCCTTATTTGGCCTCTCAACAGCAGTCAACAATACTGGCCTTTCTCTTTTCCTTAATTCTTTCTCTTATCTTTTATAATCTACCTGTCTCCTAGTTTTTATTCTACCTGTCTGACCATTTCCATCTTAGGTGCTTGCTCATCTCTCACTACCATGCCATTCACTGTTGAAGTTCCTGAACTCTTAGTCTTAAGCCTTCTTCTTTTCTCATGTTATGATATTCTCCCTATGCAATTCGACTCCTATCTGTAGACAGATAACTGATGAATATATATTTCTAGAACTGACTTCTCTTTGTGCTGTAAACCTCTATATTCAACTATCTACTCATCATTCATTTAGCTGGTTCAATGGAACTTCATATTTAATTTTTCCCAAAGGCCAACTCATAATTTTCCTTCCAGGAAAGTTGGAACTTAGAATTTGAATTCAAAGAGTATTGTACTGCCATCCATCTATGTGTGTTAAGCCTAACACTGGGGATCGTGACAACTATCTCCTTTGTCTCCCCCAATATTGAGTCCATCAGCAAATCTTGTTATAACCCACCAAATATCCCTATTGTGTCCATATTTTTCCTTTTCTCTGATCACGGCCATCTGATCATACCAATACTCCTAATTAAAACCCTTCAACGATTTCCTTTATTTCTTAGAATAAAGATAAAAATATCTTGGTTTTTAAGACTGTGCTTTGTCTGCCTCTGCTTTCAATTTCAAATTATATTTGTTTTTAATTTTTTTTTATTGGTTTCTCACTCTTTTTTTTTTTGAAGAAGAAGATTGGTCCTAAGCTAACATCTGTTGCCAATCTTCCTCCCTTTTTCTCCCATAAAACCCCAGTAGATAGTTGTATGTCATAGTTGTACATCCTTCTAGTTGCTGTATGTGGGACACTGTCTCAGCATGGCTTGATGAATGGTGCATAGGTCTGCGCCCAGGATCTGAACCAGTGAACCCTGGGCCACCTAAGCGGAGCATGTGAACTTAACTGCTATGCCACCAGGCCAGCCCCATCTTTAATTTTTTAAGTAAACATTTTATTGAAGTATAACATGTTACAGAAAAGTGTATAAATGTTAGGTGCATAGCTTGATGGATTTTCATAAGGTTAATGTGTCCATGGAACCAGCTCCCAGAATCAAGAAACAAAAATATTTCCTGGACCTGGAACTGTCCTTCTGCCTCCTTTGGTGACTACTCCACAAGGGTGACCACTATCTTGACCTCTACCACCACACATTGGTTTTGCCTGTTTTCAACTTTATATAAATGGAAATGTGTGGTATGTAGTTTATAAATCTGGCTTCTTTTGTTCAAAATAAAGTTGTCCCCACTGCACTGAAATATCCCTTTTGTTATACATAAGCTGAATATGCAGGTGTGGGTTTATTTCTGCACTAATTCTTCTGTTCCGCTGATCTATTTTATTCTTCTGCCAACAACATACATTGTTGTGTATACTCACACGCCGTTTATTCTGTGGCTGTATAGAATTCATTGTATGATTACACTACACTTTTTAAATCCTCTCTACTGTTGATGAAAATTTGGGTTATTTACAGTTTCTATTACAAATAATGCTGCTATAAGCATTCTTGTATGTGTCTTTTGATGACTATACCTATGCTATTCTGTAGGGTTTATATCTGATATAGGGCATGGATATATTCTGCTTTAGTAGATATTTCTGATATTTTCCAAAATGAATATTCTAATTTATACTCCCACCAAAATTGTATCAGAGTTTCAGAGTCCCAACACTTGGTATCTTCTGTTCTTTTCATTTTAACAGTAGCTATGCACTCATATCAAATTGGGCTTTAACTTGTACTTGCCTTGTGATTAATGAAGTTGAGTGCCATTCATTCGTTTATTGGTGATTTGGATGTTCTCTCTATGTAATGGCTGTCCAAGTTTTTGCTCCTTTTTTCTATTGTATTGTTGGCAACGTCAAATGAATTTAAGGGTTGTTACTTTTTTTTTCACATTTTCTGGCTGTGAGTTCTTTCTTGAAAATGCATATTGCAACTGTTTTTTTCCCAGTCTGTGCCTTTCCTCTTCACTCTCTTAACGGTGTATTTTGATGAATAATTGTTATTTTTTAATGTATTTTGGTATATCATTTTTTATGTTAGTCTTTTCCGTGTCTTATCTAATAAATCTTTACCTACCTAAAAGAAAGTAATAGTCTATGCTTTTTTCTAAAATCTTTATTGTTTTACCTTTCACAATTAGATCTAAACTACATCTGGGATTGATTTTTTTGTGTGTAAGGCATATAGTACAGTTCAAGAACTCTTCCCTATATACGTGAAATTTATTAAAAAACCATACCTTTTCCTATATCATTGAAATACTCCTTTTGTTACGAATCAAGTGATTGTTTTTGTGTGAGTTTGCTCTGGACTCTCTGACCCATTGGTCTAATGATTTATACCTCCACCAATATCATCTTGTATTAATTTCTATAGCTTTATAATCAATCTTGATATCTGGCAATATAACTCCTACAGTTCGTTCTTCTTTGTGATTGCCTTGCTGTTTACATTTCCATTGGCATTTTAGAATCAGCTTGTCAATCTTAAAATAAATTGCTGAAATTTTGTTTGGGATTTTATTGACTCTATAAACCATCTGAAGAGAATTTATATTCCACAATACTGAATCTTCCAAAACATAAACAAAGTGATCCTTCCATCCATTTAGATTTACTTTAATTTACCTCAATCATAGTTTTGAGTTTTCAGTGTAGAGGTTTTTCACATCTTCCATTAGATTTATTCCTCGGTATTAGCTTTTTTAATGCTATTTTTAAAAATAGAATTGTGGGTTTATTGCTGTCCAACCATTCTTGATCTTAATTTCTCTCTCTGTTCCACATACATTGGCCTTTTTTCATTCCCTCAAGTTTCCCTCCTTCTACAGACACTTTGTCTTCTATCATCTCTCTTCTTGCAATGCTTTCCTCTTGCATTTCCCTCTTCACACAACTCACCCCTATTCATTCTTTACATTTCAGCTAAATTTCATATCCTCAGGGATGTCTTCCTCTACCTACCTACTTAGATACAATCTCCCTATTTAATTTACTATAGAGTACCTAACTATTTCTCATATTCATTACAGTTGAAAGTTTATGTTTGTCTTTGTAGTTATTTGATTTATGCCTATGTAAGCTGTAAAAGGACAAGACCACATCTATTTCTTTTGGCCTACTATGTGCAGGGCCTAGCAAAGCACCTGGCCCATAGTAGGGTCCAAATAAAGCCTTTTTAAATGAATGAATGAATGAAAGAATGCACGAATGAATGAGTTCCAACTTTGTTACAGGCACTGTTTGAGGGTCTGGAGGTACAGAAGTGAACTAAACATAATACAATGTTTGGCTTCTTCCCATTTCAGAAACTTTCCTCGCCACCTCTTTTTTAAGAATACAAAACACAAAATATCATCACAGTCTATATTAATGATACCCCACTTCTGATCTCTGAATTTATGGTTTCTTCTCTAATATTTCAAACTTTTTTTAATTGTATACTACACATAACAATTTTAATAATTATTTGTAATAGCAATTTCACATTAAAGCTTAAAATAGATGAAGAGACATATATATGTCTAACAAGAAGGTCAGAGAGTCTCTGAGCTCTTGGCTGATGATTGTACTTTAATTGTAATTTAATAGAATTCAATAAACTTGTGTAGAAAAATAACTCCATTGTCATCTGGTCTAGCTCTCCACCTATTGTAGGAATCTTCTCCACTGAGTACCTGAAATAAAATCATCAAGACTCAACCTGAACATTTGAAATGGCAGGAATTGTTCGGTCCCATCTGACACATGTGACATTGACATTGAACTAATAAAGATTTGCAGGAAACTTTACATCAGCAGCAGTGAGACTGGGATAATGAGGCACATATAGAAAAAAGCCTTACTTCAGTGTTACTCGTTGGGGATTTTGAGAGTGATAATTAATCATATCCCTTTCCCATCTGGATCCTGAATCAAGCAAGAAACAAAAAGAATCATCAGATATGGATCAAAATACCAAGTGTATTGCCATTAAAGCCAGATTGGAGACTATTGTTTTGTATGCAATGAAAAATAAGGCTTATTTCTACTTCCTCTGAAATCTAGATCCACCTGAAAGGAAAACGTTACTATTGGAAACTTTGATTTCTCCAGTTTGAGGGCACTTAATGCAGGGACAGAGTGAAAACACATGTGCACATGGCTGTTAAATCATTGATTTCAGCCAAACAAGTAGTGGATGTTAGATCCTCACTGATTCATCAATTAGATAAATCAGTCCTCTTACGAAAGGGAGGAGTGAAAGGCAAGAGAGAGAAGACCCAGGTATAACGTTAACACTCTTCTTATCTGGGGAGTGAAATATACATCTTCTCAAGGAAATCCAAGTATAGATGAATAGCAATATACTTAATAGTTTTTTACCTCTCTATGACATAGCTATCAACATATATTAAAAGCTATTTTAAAACACTGAGACCACAGAATGGGGAAAAATATTTTCAACCATATATCTGATAAGAGATTGATACCCAGAACATATAAAGAATTCCTACAATTCAACAACAACAACAAAAAATGAATAACCTGATTAAAAAATGGGAAAGAACTTGAAGAGACATTTCTCTAAAGAAACTATACAGATGACAAACACACAAAAAGATGCTCAATGCCATTAGTCATTAGGAAAACACAAATGAAAACTACATTGAGATACCACTTTACATCCATTAGAATGGCTATTGTCAAAAAAATGGAAAATAATTGATGAGGATGTGAAGAAATTGGAACACTTGCAAATTGCTGGTAAGAATTCAAAATGGGGCAGCCACTGTGAAAAACTGTATGGTGAATCCTCAAAAAATTAAACATAGAATTACCATATGGTCCAGCAATTCCATTTCTGTGTATATAACCAAAAGAATTGAAAGCAGGGTTTCAAAGAGATACTTGTATACCCGGGTTCGTAGCAGCATTATTCACAATAGCCCAAAAGTGGAAGCAATGCAAGTGTTCCATCGACAGATGAATGGATAACCAATGTGGTATATACATACAATGGAATATCATTCAGCCTTAAAAAGAAAGGAAATTCTGACACATGCTACAACATGGATCAATTTTGAAGACATTATTATAAGTGAAATAAGCCAGTAATAAAAGGAAAATATTGTGTGATTCTGCTTATATGATGTTCCTAGAGTAGTAAAATTCATAGAGACAGAAAGTAGAATGGTGATTGCCAGGGGCTAGGGGAAGGGGGATTGGGGAGTTAGTGTTTAATGGGTACAGAGTTTCAGTTGGGGAAGACGAAAAATTCTGGAGGTGGATGGTGGTGATGGTTGCACGACAATGTGAATGTATATAGTGCCATAGAACTGTACACTTGAAAATGGTTAAAATGATAAATTTCATGAAATGTATATTTTCCCACAATAAAAAAAAAAGTGAGAGAAACTATGGCATCATTTCCTTAGTTAAATATTTTCAAAGAAAAAATAGCAAGCCAGTTATAAGGAAAATGATATTTACTGTAAATCTGTATTTCTATAGAGATTAATCTGGGAAACGCTTACTTTATGAACATATACTAGTAACATGCATATGAGTGGCAGGCATGGGACATGAAACATACTATTTAATTGAACAAATTTGTATAAACTTGTGAACATATATTAAAGTGAGGGCTATGTGAATCCACTATGAATGGCTAGATTCTTGCCTTCCTTTCACTCCATCAGTAGATACTTACTGAGCTTCTCCTATGTATCAGGAACTTTTGCTAGACTGTGGGTGTGCAGTGGTGAACAACATAAGCATAAAGTCTGATTTCCTAAAGCTTCCGTTCTCACTAAGAAGACATATAGAAAGAAAGGAAACAAATATGTAAATTATTTTTCACATTGTAATGACAGTAATGTAAGTAATAAATAAAGAGTAAGCTAGATACCAACAAAGGGAGACCTGCTTTGTATAGGGTGGTCAAGGAAGTCTTCTCTGTGAAGATAGATTTTAAGCTAAAATCTGAATGATGAAGATGAACTACCCATACATTGAATAGAGAGAATAACATCCCATGCATGGAAGAAAACCTATGTAAAGGCTCCGAATCGAAAAGGGCTTGGCATGGTCAGAAATCTGAAGAACAACATGGCTAGGAAGTGGTGAACCAGGGTAAGAATGGCATGGGATGTTGAGTCGAGGAACAGCAGCTAGAATCAACTTTTGCCAGCAGGACTTTCTGCACTGATGGAGGCCACTAGCCACATGGGGTTACTGAGTAATTGAAATGTGATTAGAATAACTGAAGAAATGAATTTTTAATTTTATTTTATCTCAAATAATTGCTTTTGGATTTAAACAGTCTGACGTGGCTAGTGACCACGTCACTGAACAGTGCAGCGGTAGTTCTGGTAGGGCCACCCAGGCTGTGATAAGTGCTTGGATGTTATTGTGAGAAAAATGGATAGCCACTGAAGCAAGGGATGGATGAGATCCAACGTATGTTGTAAGAAAAGGGCCGTAGCTGCTTTCTGTGTTAAATGCATGAAAGGAAAGTAAGAGTGAGAATAGAGCAAATAGTTAAGAGATACCCACAGTATTCCATGGAAGAGGTTATATATCTCACACCAGAGGAATATTAGCGGAGATGGACAGAAGAGATAGAATTTGAGATACTTGTGGGGCATGGGGACTACTAAAATTAATCGAGTTTGCTAGGATATTAGATGAAGAAGAGGAAAAGAACAAAACAACGATGGACTCTGCTTTGAGTAACTGGGTAAACGGTGGTGCAGTTTACTGAGATAAAGTTGATTGGAGGTGGGGGAGGAACAGGAATATGTTTTGGTGAAAACTTGAAAGACCTGTTTAGACTTGATAAGTCTGAGAGATCTGTGGAACATTCATGTGAAGATTATATTAGGCATTTGGATATTTGAGTCTGGAGAAAGCTCAGGGCTAGATAGAAATTTGGGAGGCAGCCATACAACATTGGTATTAAATTGATGACAACTGATAAATGCACTTATGGACAGAGGGGAGAGCAACAGGAGAGCCCAGAGCCAATATCCAGAGTCAGGCTTAGGTTACAGTAGTTCAATTATACCACTTCTTGAGAATTTGCACATCACTATAATGCTTAGGGTTGGTGATTCATTTAAATGCTCTTTCTCTTTGTTTGAGGTATGCTGGACTTCAACTTTATAAATTGATATGGAGTATGATTAATTCATATTATTTTGTCTAAATCATAGATGTCATTAATACTTCTAAATATCACATCAGAAAGAGAATTCTACCAGTGAAACACACTATTGCATTTGTTGGTTCACAAACTGGCCCTCTTACACAGAGGGCAAGGAGAGACCAAAGAAAGCAGCAGACCACTCTGGATTGGCAGGTGGCAGTTTTCAGAAGCAAGGGAACTTATATATGAGGCTTATCTTAGGCAGCTGCAAGATGAGTAGATCTCCGCACCCACCTACCAGAATCTTAAAGCTTACGTAGAGGCCTTAACTGGCTTCAGTCACTATACTGTCCAAATGGTCTCAATAACATCTTACTCTATCAAGGCTGCATCCTTGAAAATGGCTTCCACTGTGGGAAGGGTGGGCAGAATGTACATTCCAAGGACATGGGTGGGGATGAGGAGCTTCCAATTGCCCAGGTCCAGTTCATGGGTCAATCAGTGGTCATGTCCTCTCAACGACTTCCAGTAGCATTCTAACTCTTTTAAGTATTATTGATAACCATATTTAAGAGAAATATCAATGTTTGGAGATTTTTCTTTCTCTAGTCAATATGAATAACTTTAGGGTCAGGAGGACAGCAATGGGTGAGTGGAGTAAAGGAAGGCTTGAGAGTACACAGCATGGTTTAAACCACTCTCAGCATGTATAGAACATGAGAGGAACTGAAAAACCCAGTCTCTATCACCTGTTTCTATATCAAACAGACGGGGCATTTTCCTGATGAAATGTTCGTTATATCTTCCTTTCTTCCTTTCTTACTTCCCTCACCCTCTCTGTCATTCAGTAGTCAATAAGAAAGGAATCTTTACTTTGTAGACATCATTTGCTATCTACCTACCCAAATAAAAGAACATCATAATTTGGAAGAGATGATACCAGCATGCAATTCAAAATTTGGACCTATGAAATAAGACAGTTTGTGGAGCCTTAGAAGAATCCAGATAATATTCACCTTTGTCACCTCTTGCTTGAGCATACTAACTGGTTATTTATCCAGGCTTAGCTTCCTCAAAATTAAAATAGTCTCAATTGATTTTGAATAAAACAACATGCACTTTGTTTTCACTATGGGTGTCATCACACCGTTCTCTTCTTCCTGTTGGAATAATCTAACTTCTCTGCATTTGAATGCAGGATTCCTGAGGATGCTGAGTGTCCAGCTCCTGGATGCCATGGGTAGTATATATAGACGACTGTTTGCTTTGTTTTTGTTTTGTTTTTTGGTGGTAATGCTTACCATCTGCTTACTGTGCTATGATGATATTATCAAGAGTTCATATCAAAGTGCTGAAGGCACCTCTGATAGAGAAAGGCTGTGTGTCTGCATATTCCATCATTTTCTTTTCCATGCCCCAAAGCCATTCCTAAGAATTTAGTTTTCTGTGGAAATATTTCAAATGAAATTCTCTTCAGAAGTCCACCCATTTCAATAAATAATAAAACTAGGAAAGAATCGGTGAAAAACAATGTGCCTAATAATGTGGGATAATTATCAATTCATCAGAACTTTGGAATAAACGTAGTTCAAAATAAAAAAAAAAAAAAAAGCTTGTGGTCTGCAATATTTCCTTTGAAACTACTCATTAAGATCATGTTGGCAAAATGAAGTAATAAGATAATACGGTAACAGGCTTTGTCTGTTTAGGGGCACAGGTTTGATACAATCCAGAGCATTGCTCCAATGAATTATCTTAAGTATGTCTATAGTTCTTTAGTATTTTTATATACTTATGCATCGTTATCTCATTTAATCTTTAAAACAACCTAATGAAGTAGAAATTTATGTCTATTTTACAGGTAAAGAAACCAAGATTGAGGAGTTATGGGTGTTATAAGTGAAAGAGCTTGGATTCAATCCTAGGTATTGACTTTTTTCCTAATGATTTTTTCCCTAACATTTTGCAGCTGCTTCCAATGTTTTCCAGTATTAATGGTGACTTCTGGCTTTATTATAAGACTTCTATGAACTCTAGGCAAATACATATGTCTGGTCTGGTTTGGTTTATGAAGGACTTACCTCATACACCAAATTAGGAGCTTCATTGGCCTTCTGGCCAATTAGATGGTCTATGCCCCAAGGCTTCAGACAAAATCTTTTAAAAAGCCAAACTATTTCCTGAATGTGCAGCATTTTTTCCAAAAGAAGCACTGTAAAACAACACGGCTGGTGATATCCTCCATCACCACAAAAAACAATGTACTGTTTGGGGAAGCCCATTTCGGTGGTATGACATGCCTGTCAAACCAGAGATGTCCAAAAGGAGCACAAAACCTTCTGGTTTGTTCCTCCACTGGTCATTAACATCTAAGCAAATGCAACTTCATCCTTCCAATTGTTCAACTTAAAAACAAAAGCAGCATCTTTGATTTCTCTCTCCCTGAATTACTAAATCCTCTGCAAATAAAATTTTATTCTACACTACATCTCCACTCTCACCACCCTAGATCACATCAGCACCATCTCTCACTCGGACAGTTCCAACAGCTTCCTATTGACCTGCCTGCTTCTATACACCCTATTCCACCCCCAGTCATTTTCTAACAGATAGTCAGGAAGATATGAGGGAGGTGTCTACCTCTCCAATTTAATCTCATAGCATTCTCCACCTTGCTCACAAATCTCAAGCCAGTCTGTCCTGTGATGTTTTTCTAACTTGCCAAATCTAACACTTCCTCTTTGGTCGGGCTGAAATGCTCACTTCCATGGGTTTGCCTGACTTGCTCTTTTGACTCCTTGAGGAATCAGTACAAATGTATGTTTTCAGAAGAGGCCTTACTTGCCTGCTCCAATGTAAATGGTGTGCCTCAATATTCACAAACTCATCACCCTGTTTATTTCCTGAAAATGCTTATCACAATGGGAAAAAAATGTCTCATTCATGTATTCATTTACCTCATAACTTTCTGTTTCTTCTACTAAGCTATGCATTTCACGAGGGCAATGACCATATGTCCTTTCATTGTTTCTGCACCAGTGTTTGTCACATAATATATCCTCAATAATTATCTGATGAATGAACAAATGAATGAATGAATGAAAGGAATGAGTGAATGAAATAACATGAATAGCAACTATTCAAAGCATCATGATATTCAAAGGAGAACTGATTGCTATAAACCCATCCTCCAAGCTGACTCTTCCTTATCACTTGCTCTTCATTAAGGATTATTAAATGACTCATCATCTTGTTATATTATAAGGCTTCATGTCTCACGGACCCTTCTTTCTAAATTAAATTATATCTGAAGTGCAAGCTCTGCAGATATTTTGTCAATTTTTCCTTTCTGAGTTGCTTTTTATCAGAGCTAGTGTGATTAGTTTTGGATGCTGATTGCCCTTTCAGCTCCCATAGTGAACTAGAGTTTCATTATTCTCCAAATAGGGCAAAATTTATTTCTTCTGCACTCCCCAAATGGTCACGGGCTTTGTTAATGCTTGTTGTCTCCCTGTCGCTCCTGCTTATGCATATGTGTCTTTATGTAAACAGTGGATTTGGCTTGAATATTTCTGCTTTTAAACAGTAAATTATACTAATCGCAATGAATTTTACAAAAATGCCAATCACCCCACGCCTGGCTTGAATGTAGACCATCATTTTACGTTGAATGCACAAGAAAAACAACCAATAACAAGGCAAAGTATCTAGTGCTACTACAAAATAAATATAATATTAATTAGAAGAAGAGTACAAAGAGAGAGGAAGAGGGCCATCATCTCCTAAACACTTTATGTCATAGGTGCACTGTACACATAATACCTAATCCTAGCAATATCTCTTCAAAAAAGGAATCATTGCATCCTCCAAAGACTAAAGTTTATTACATTTCAATGATGTATATACCTAGAGGTCATAAGTTAGTAAAACCCTTATCCTAAATTAAATCTAAAACGGGTCTGACTTGATAGTCCCAGGAATTTCTACTTTTTCAGGCTTCCCTTGTAGGTAGAATTCATGTATAAAGATGAATGGGACCCTCATAGTCCTATGTCAATGTGGTGTGATTGGGTCTTCTAGAAAGTGGGAGTTATTCCTGAAACACCCAGTTGCAGAGAAGTTTGAAGAGGAGCTTACCCACCTCTGCCTTCCCAGATGTGTAGTATAAAACCTTGTGAAATTTCCATTGTCCCATTGTCTTTGTTTCTTCAAAAGTTACAAATTTGATATCATCTCTCTTTCCTTTTTTTTTTTTTTTTTGTTGTTGTGAGGAGATCAGCCCTGTGCTAACATCCGCCAATCCTCCTCTTTTTTTGCTGAGGAAGACGGCCCTGGGCCAACATCTGTGCCCATCTTCCTC